AACAAATTTCGGTAAATTTTACTCAAATTTACTATGCACATGTCTTTTTTTTTAAAAAAAAAAACAACCTCTCCATTAGTCTAAAATATAGGTTCTGCAAAGTAATTGAGTAAAATTTTTAAAGAAATTTATATGCAAATTATTGAGGAGATGCGATTTGAAATTTGATAATTTTTTTTTATAATCGTTTCGTATAAGATTTTTAAACTTCAAATTGTATCTCCTCTGTAAATTACATATTAACTATTTTGAAAATTTTGCTTAATTGTTCAACAGAACTAATATTTTAAACCAAGGAGTTTTTTTTTAAAAAAATTTTTTACTAAATTTTTATTTAAATTTATTGAAATAACCTATTTGTTGCGGGTAGTGATGGCATCCTGATTTTATTTATAAACGCATTTAGGATTAAAAAGATCATAGCATGTAGTAAAATTATGCAAGGAATATTTTTTCTTAAGTCACGGAAGTTGATTTCATAGATATAATTTTGAGTTATTTTGATTTAAAAATTTCGAGATTTTTGTAACTGTCGGCGACAAATAGATTCACCCATATTCTATTAACAACTAGCGTATCACCCGTGCCTCCGGCACAGGAAAAAGGTTGCTTGTAGGAATGATTTAAATGTAATATTATAATTTTATAATATGTTAGGTTAAGTAAATCAAGAGTTTAATTGAATAAAGTCAATTTAAAAATTAAAAAAAAAGATTGGGTTGGAAGAGAATCTCAGAACCCGTTATATCGTTCAGCTCAGATAGGATAATATAAATTTTTTTTATGATGTATAGTACCGGTAAAATTTTTCCGCTTAAGTAAAAAAGGAAATGTTGTAGGCCACGAGCAAAAAACAAAAAGAAGGAACATACTCAAATACAATTAGAAATGGTAATTATTAGAGATTTGCCGACAAACAAGATAGAAAGGGAGTGGTGTTAATTATTTCAAAAACAACATTTAAAAAACATTTTGTTGTGAATGATATGAGATCTTCAAATATAATATTAGAAATCAATTTCTAACAAATCTAGACTTTGACTCTTTTTTTCAGCTTCAATAAATTCAGAGTCAAAATCATTACATGTATTCCAAGATTTTATAGTGCGGTGCAGCTTTTCAGAAGTTGGCCTTTTTTTGCTATCAATATTCCAACATTCTTTAATTAATTTAGTAAGCTGCTCTGGGACATAATGTGGAATTCTAGGTTGCAAACCATTCATTCTTTCTAATATAAGGTCTTTTTCATAATAATCTTCATTTTGCGACACCCCAGTTGCAATTTCATACGCAACCATGCCAAAGGAATATATGTCTGCAGCTTTAGTATATTCTTTTTTATCTAGGATTTCAGGAGCAGTATAACGAAGTACTCCAATATCTGTGCTAGAAGATTCATCCGCTGACACGCATTGGCCAATATCTGTGATAAATATTACACCTTCATAACCTACCAAAAGATTTCCTAAATGAAAATCCCGATGAACTACACCTCTTTCATGCAGAAAATCAAGCCCTATAATAATGTCTAATAATGCTTCTACTTTTTTCTTCCATGTCATTGTTTTAGAGTTTTTCTCTAAATAAGAACGAAGATTGCCAGAAGGTGCTAATTCCATCACTATAATGTAATTTTCATATATATCTTGAGAAAATCCCAGATATCGCGTAAAAAAGGTATTATCTTTTATCTTACGATATAATTCAATCTATATAATGTTATTTAGTTAGCAATATAAAATTAGTTTATAACAAGTCAACATAATATAAACAATAGCTTACTATTTTTAACATTTCATTTAGATTATTTTTGTTGTTTAAGATTTTTAATGCTACTTTACGACATAAATGTCTTTTCCAGACTTTTCGATCCTTATCCCAGCACTTTATTGGTCCATCTAACCAAATAGCTGATTTTACGATACCAAATCCACCTTCACCAATATATTTCATATTTACTAATCTTTCATATGGAATCCACTCCATTATCTTGAATGGACTTTCTATCTCAGTTTGAATATCATTAAGAAATTTGTCAATTATCGTATATCCGCTAGTAAGCATTGTTTCTTTCAAATTTTTTGAATTGCATAATATACACCATCCATTATATTCGGAATTATAATCTTCCTTACATTCTTCACATTCTCTGAATTTATTGGTTAGTTATTAAAAATAAATAATTAACCTATTAAACCTTAATTTTTAATACACACTCATAAATGACATACTTTTGATCACTTTATTATTATCGAAGAAATAAAATTTTAGTAATGAATCATTATAAGTAAATATATATATAATACACTAACCTCCAAAGCTCTTGATCAAAGATATACTTCCTAAAAATTTATTTAACCAAAAAAAAAAAAAAAAAGCTATCAGCTATTAATAACGAAATTATATACCGCATGTTCGTAAATAACACATCGAAATTGCATTAATAAGGAATGCATTATTTTGAGGCATAATATATAGTTATTAGGCGTGTAGTGAACAATAACTGCAGTTATTTGTCAAAATTTTTGACGGATAATCAGTTATTGGCCGCTACGCGGCCAATAACTGAAAATCTATCCGTCAAAAATTTTGACAAATAACGTTATTATTCGTCTAAGATTTGTTAGATGCTAGTTTGCCGTGATAGCGGCCGAATAGCATCTAACATATCCTTGACGAATAATGCAGTTATTGTTCACTTACACGCCTAGTAACGGTATTATCCTTCTGTCTATGACGATCTGTATATAACGCTCTTAAATTATTATGATCGTAACTAGGTGCTTGAGTTGCTTAAAGGGAGTTAGAGATGAGTGTTCTATATCTGATATTGCATTATGCAGTGCAAGGACTTCATATTGTGATTAGGCTCTATGGCTGTGATAGCAGTGCAAGGACCTCATATGTATAGTTGACGTCCAAACTTAATTGGGTTGAGACTTTGGGACTGTCTTGGGTATTACCCACTATTTGAGACTAGTTAAAGCCGTGGAACTTGTCCAAACTTATTGTATGAATTGAATTTGAGACAAAATTTCAGATATATCCAATTTGGACCAATAGTTATAATTATTTGGATAGCAATTATCTCATGTGATTAGGCTCTATGGCTGCCGCAAGCAATACAAGAACCTCATGTTTGGTGATTGAGCTCCCTATAAAAAAAAGTTCAAATTTTTATTATAGAAAATATTTATTATTTAAAATAATAATCTGAACAAAATCTGAATAAAATTTTGACCTTTTTTTTATAGAATCCACAACTATAATAGCAGTACAAGGGTCTTATTGCAATTAGGCTCCATGGCTGCGGTAGCAATGCAAAGAACTCATAATGATTAGGTTCTATGGCTGCTAGGGCTGCTAGTGATAGGTTTGGTTGCAAATGGCTACAATTATTCATAGTCAATTTTCTAAATATTGAGTGATTTTTTCTTTTTGAGCTTTTAATTAAAGTTGTCAGAATTAAATTATGTTCATCCCATCTTATAAGTGGAAAGAATGAAACTTTCTCTGGAACTAAGAATTTTAAAATTTGTTAATGTAATAGCTGATTAATAACCGGTGGCTAATAACCAGTTATAATGTTAACAAATTTTGAAATTCTAAGTTCTAGAGAAGATATTATTCTTTATACTTATAAGATAAGATGAACAGAATTTAATTCCGAAGAACTTTAATTAAAAGCTCAATTAGAAAAATTCATATTAGTATTTAGAAAATTGACTATGAATAATCGTAGCCATTCGTAATCGAACACATGTCTAATGGCCGTCACGGGTAGTGAAGTACCTCATCTTGGTGATAAAGCACCACAACTACAATAGCACTTTACGTTGTGATTAGGCTTCGTGGCTGCTATAGCAATGCAAGGACACATGTTGTGATTAGGCTCTATGGCTGCCGCAGACTGTAAGGATCTCATGTTTACACCATAACTACGTTGTGATTAGGCTCCGTGGCTGCAATAGCATGCAAGGACCTTACATTTGTGATTAGACTCTATGGCTGCCGCAGGCAGTGCAAGAACATCATGTTTGGTGATTAAGCACCATAACTACGATAGCAGTGCAAGGACCTCACATTGTGATTAGGCTCCGTGGTTGCGATAGCAATGCAAGGACCTTATGTTGTGATTAGACTTTATGGCTGCCGCAGGCATGCAATACCTCATGCTTGACGATTAAGCTCTGCAACTACAATAGCAGTGCAGAGATCTCACGTTGTGATTAGACTCCGTGGATGCAATAGCAATGCAAGGACCTCATGTGATTAGGCTCTATGACTGCTACGAGCAGTGAAGAACCTCATGTTTAGTGATTAAGCATTGTAACTATCATAGTAGTGCAAGAATCCCATGTTGTGATTAGGCTCCGTGGATGCGATAGCAATGTAAGGACCTCACGTTGTGATTAGGCTCTATGGAGTAGAGGTTGGAACCAGCTTTAAAAATTCGAGTTTATCACATCAATTATTAATAATTGATGTGATAAACTCAAATTTTTAAAACCGGCTCCAACCTCTAGTTTGGATATTAGGATTAACCCTAGCTGCCGCAACAAAATTGTCACGGCAGATTCTCGATTTTGATTGGCTAAGAGCGACGATTAAAAAATTAGGCCGGAATTACTCATAATTTTACTAATGAATCACAGCCGCCCATTAAGTGAAAATTGTTCCTGGGCCAATTTTACCATAATGCGAGCTTATTTTATAAAAATTTCTATTTTTGTAATGAAAAAGTCAAAAAGTTAATTCCGGCCGGAAATTAGTAAACAATTATGTAATGCGGGCCAAAATTTGAAGATCCTCGGCCGTTAGCCAATCAAAATCGGGGATCTGCCGTGACAATTTTGTTGCGGCAGCTATGGTTAATGCATATAGTCTTACGACTAAGTCTTGGACTAGACCTAAGTTAACTCAAGTTCTAAGACTGGTTTTATAAGACTTGGTCCATATGTCTATGCAGTAAAACCTACAGGTTATGAAACCAGGACAGGGCTTTACTATCCCTAGCTATGGTTAATGTTAATAATAAAAAAAAAAAGCTGTGCCAAATTTTTTTAAAATTGGGCGAAGATAACTCGAAACCACCTAATCAAATTCGATGAATCGTTTTTTTATTTGAATTTTATAAGAATAGATGATTTAAATAAAAAAAGATTCATTGAATTGAACAGGTGATTGTCGAGATATCTTTGCTCAAAGTTTTAAAAAAATTTAGCGCAGCTTTTTATTTTAATAGACGGTTTGAATTTTTTAAAAATTTGAGCAAAGATATCTCGACAACCACCTGATCAACTTCGATAAACTTTTTTATTTTGATTATGAGTTTAGACGAATCGAATAAAAAAATTTTTTATCGAATTTGGTTGGGTGGTTGTCGAGATATAGGTATTTTGAATTTTTTTTTAAAAAAAAACCTTGAACGAAGATATCTCGGCAACCATCCGACCAAATTCGATAAAATTTTTTTATTCGAGTTGACTAAACTTATAGAATCAAAATAAAAAATTTTCATCGAATTTTATCAGGTGGTTGCTGAGGTATCATCATTCAAAGTTTTTGTTTGCTGGGAAGGGTATAAAAACTTACAGTAGCCCTTAAAAAAAAAGACAAGATAAAAAAAAAATAAAAAATGAAAAATAAAAAAAAATAAAAAATAAAAAAAGTAAAAAAATAAAAAATAAAAAATAAAAATAAAAAAAATAAAAAAAAATACAAAATAAAAAAATAAAAAATAAAAAATACAGTAATAAAATTAATAAAAAAATAAAATACAAAATAAAAAAATAAAAAATAAAAAATAATAAAATTAACAAAAAATAAAGGATTTATTAATTTTGTGCACCCCACACAGCTGTGCACCCTATAGTAACAAAATTAGGATTAGGGTTAGGGTTGGTGTTTTGATTAGAATTTGAATGCTAAAGGTTAGAGTTAGGTTAGGGTTAGGATTAGGATTAATCTAAAATTAATTCTAAGGTAACTTTTCGAGAGAAGCATTTTTAGTTAAGAATACAACTGGGTCATCTTAGTAAAATTTTGAGAATACAATAGTAAAATTTTAAAAAATATAAAGGAGTGCACAGCTGTGCAGGTGCACATATTAAATAAACCCAAAAATAAAAAATAAAAAAAAATAAAAAATAAAAAAAGTAAAAAAATAAAAAAATAAAAAATAAAAATAAAAAAATAAAAAAAAATACAAGATAAAATAAAAAATAAAAAATAATAAAATTAATAAAATTCCTTGGGAATTTTTGGTATAAACTAACCCTCGCTCCAATTCCAAACCCACCCTTAATTTTTCGTTTATTAAAGTTGTTTTGATTGACATGTTACACAAAATTTGTAATTCAATAAATTATACCCGTGTATAAACACTACGTGTAAATTAATAAATTTTCTAAAAAGAAATAATATAAATATAAAAAAAATAAATATAAAAATAAAAAAAAATATAAAAATAAAAAAATATAAATATAAAGATAAAAAATATAAAAATTAAAAAATTAAAATATAAAAATAAAAATAAAGAATTAAAAATAAAAAATCAACAAAATTAAAATAAAAAACAAAATTATAAAAAAATTTAAATAATTAAAAAAAATGAAAATTAAAATTAAAAAAGAAAAAATAAATATAAAAAAAAAATGCAAAAAAATAAAAAGATTTAAAAAAAAAAAACTTAAAATAAAAAGTAAAAAAATAAAAAAAGCAAAATTAAAAAAATATACATATAATATTAAAAAAAAACTAAATTTATTAACTTTATTATTGTGTTAATAATGTATGATTATTACTATCCGTAGTCTATTACAGTATATTATATTTCAGATATGTACGTATATTGAGGCATAATAAATACTTATATATATTTAGTATTTGCTATCAATAATGCCAAAGCCCGTCGTTTAACGACAGGTCCAGTATCTAGTTTTATATTCAGTTTCTGTTTCATTCTCTATTTGTAAATATTAACATTTGTTTATTCTGGGCTTAGTATAGATTGCATATTGTTAAAACCTGTTGGGAGTTTGTCATCACGGCGAATTTATGAAATTAAAAAAATTTGGTCACCAAATCTGAGTATTTAGTCCCCAAAACTAACAAAATTACATATTAAAAAAATTTTTGAACCTCTGATCTAGACAGATAACGCGTCTAACCTATCTTTCCACCTTTGTTAGACATATAAATTTATTATAACGACGCACCCTAACCGGGAAACATTGATTATCTCAGCAAAAATCTATATTTAATTTTTCAAATTTTGGAGTATTTCATAAATTCGCCGCAATTATTAGTGGTCTCTGCGATTGTGCCGGATCGTAACGGATCTTGAATGAATTGGAGCGAATTACAGTATGTCCAGTTGGGGTGATTCCTGAGTGGACGGAACAATTACTGATTAGATGGGAGCGGAATTGAGTAAAAGTTGCGATGAACTGTATAAAACAGAGTGAATTCGCTTTACTTACCATCATGCCTTAATCCACTCAATAAAGCAAAGATTTCTGATATGAGTCTAATTAACATGTAGGAAGTAGTCAGTGTTGGCCAAAGAGACCTATCCCTGAGTAATTAGACTAGAAGTCTCCCCGTATATTAATCTTTATATTGTTATTGATATTGCATAAATTTCGAGATGGCCACATACGAATAGATCTTTTCATTTGACATTCAAATTGGGTGCATGTATAGATGTGAAATTTAAATGTAGCATTATTTTTTTTTTACGCGTTAGTTCAATAAGACATTACATTTTAGTTTCTTAACAAAAGCATTGACGAAGATAAAAAAAAAAACTTTAAAGACGAAGTTTACAGTAAGTATATAAATACTGTATATAATATTTTTCAAAAGTAAAAAAAAAAAGAACAAATTTACCAAATTATAATTTATTTATTTATTTTTTATTAAATATCTGGTGAGTTTTAAGTTTTAAAAGCATTCAGATCACAAGTGTAAAATTTAGTTAACTTTAATATAAATTAATTTATTTTCTTCTTATGCGCTAGTTCAATAAGGCATTATATTTTAGTTTTTTAAGAAGAGCATTGACAAAGATAAAAGAAATCGTAAACTTTAAAGATGAAGGTTATCCGTAAGTACATAAATTCTCTCTTTTTTTTTTTTTTTTAAAAAAAAAAAAAAAAAAAAAATTTAATTTTCTTTTTTGGATTTTATAATTTATTGCACGGTGCAATACATTGCACCCCTATAATAATTAGAGTTAGGGTGCACCCCTATAATAATTAGGGTTAGTGTTAGTGTTAGTGTTAGGGATAGTGTTAGTGTTCGGGTTGGGGTTGGGGTTAGGTAAAATCGCAAGAGGATCATTTTTCATTAGTTACACAACAGGGTTACCCTAGTAAAATTTTGAGATATAGTGGGGGTGCAATACTGTACATTGCAGGTGCAATAAAAAATAAAACACTTCTTTTTTTATTAAAACTTTGCGAAAAAGTATGAGTTTTGGTATTTTAAAAGCTGAAGACAATCAATTTTGCCATATGATGAGTAGAGCTGGTCCTGTTAGTTGAATAAAAGCCAAGAGCCACATACATGCGATGGCACACGAATGGATCCTTTCATTTGACATTCAGATGTGGTGCATAGATATAAAATTTAATTATTAACCTTGGTAGCTACTAATAGTTTGTTTATTTTTATGTGTCGGTTTAAAGAAATAAGTCAAAACCGGACATAAAATTTCTAATTTGATAGAGAATCGAAACATCGAAATATGATTTTAACCAAAAATTAATTGCTCCTCCAATGTGGAACATAGTGATAAAGGCTCTACGAAGGCTTGGATTCGAAACCGTCCTTGAGCAAAATTAATGTAACAAAAAAAAAAAATTACATTTTTAAATTAATGTTTTTTCTTAAAACATATAGCTGATTCAGGAATTATACGTAGCATTAAATTGCAGGAAAAGTGTTATACGTGCTAGCACTTTAATGCTACACAATGATTAAATCTTAAACTTTACGTTCGATTCTAAAGACGATACTATGTCATCTGAAGAGTCCAACGTCGCGAACGAAGCTAAATAGCGCAACTAGTCATAACAAGAGGAATGTAACTCTTAATTCGGTCAATTAATATTTGGTTTGAAATAAATTTTATTTAAATTTTGTCATGCTCCATTAATTATAATTGCTATATACTAGTTTTTACTAAGTGCATATTGTAAACTTTCTGAATGTTCAAAAATCTCCGGCAGTTATGGTATTAGTTGAAGGTACGCACGTACGTATGTTAAAATTTTTATCAGTATATTTAAAACGTTAAAGGCATTATTGTCGAGCTTGATATGGGATTTAGGCTTCATGATTATTTTGGGTAACTTTTACTTTTTATATGTGAGTTAAAAAGGTTTAGCGTTAGTTTAATAATCGACATTATGACCACAAAAATGGCGCAATAAGTTTTCGGAATAAAAAGTTCGAAATTCCGAAAACACCTGTACCTAACCATAAACGGTTATTTTTTCATGGGATCTTTTTTCTTTCTTTCAACAGTTAACAAATTCGATAAAACCGACCAATAAACAGAATCTGACGTCTACGTAGTGCAAAAATAATATTTAGTTAATAGTTAGGGTTTGAACGATCAATTATGACTGCTTCTTTGTATTAGAGTATAGTAGACTATAGTGTCAGTGAAGTGATTGTTGAACTGTTTGTAAATGTAATACGGACTTCCACTAAATATAGAAAGTGAAATATTAATTTGCAAATTAAGAAATAAAGAAATTGAATACTGTAATTCTTTTTCACGTATGCCAAAAATTAAAAATTTGAGCGTACGTACGTATAACAATAGTCATGTGTCATCAATAGGTAACTTATCTTTCATTCAGATTTCCTTTTTAAATCTCAATGTTTTGTATACATAATGTTATTTAAGTTGTACATTGTACCGGAGTTGCTATTCCTCTTGCCTTACGAGACATATTACAAATCAGTAAGAAAAAACAACCACCAAATGATATAAATAGGCGTTGAGGTAATAAATCAACGTTTAGGTTTAATAATCAATACACTTTATCAAAATATTTTCTGTAAAAAAAAATTCACCTTTATCGCAGTGAAGAAAAATGTATCCTCAAGATTCATATAATAACAAGTCTCAAAGACCATCATCATATAATAACAGGCCTCAAAGGTATAATAATAGGCCTCAGAGACCATATAATAATAAGTTTCAAAAACCATATAATAACAAGTTTCAAAGATCGTATCATCAAAGACCTGAATACAATTCGCATCATAACGCTTTTGATTTTTATCGTACTGGCACAAACTCAAGGGGAAATCATTGGTGTCATCGTGGACCTTCTAAAGCAAGAGGTGGTAACTATCACTATTCCAACAAACATTCTTTTTATTATCAGAATTCAAACGGGTCAACATATTATGAAAATGAAAACGGACGTAGGAAATATACACCACCATCCAGAAATTCCAGGACTCATCAACGTCGCTATGAGAGGACAGATTTTCGAACATAGATGAAAATAGATTTATTTTCTTTGCAATTTTTGTCAGCTCATATTTTCTTTGCACCTATTTTTTAGGCTTTTTTTTTTTTTTTTGCATAGCTTTTTTTCTAATCATGTTTAATTTGTGTTGAGTTTCAACGCACCATATAATGTTATTATAAATATATCTTCAGGCATTATTATTATAATCAAAATCGAAGCCTTCAATCATGAAATAAAACATAGAGGGGGTTAAGATGCCTACGATTCGAACATCTATAATGAGGAATCAACGAGAAAACGAACAGCAATACACAGTAAAGCAATAATACAATTGAGTAACCGAATTATTGTTATTATGGTCCACTTTTGTCCTAATGCGAAAAATATTTTAGCATTTATCAAACTCTATACTAAGGATATACTCGAATGATGGGTCCTTAATGTAATGTATATAATCAATTTGGTCGGGAGAAAAAATTTATCGTTAATGAGTTGATGACCTAAAAGCAGTTGATCAAAAAATTGCTGACAGATAACCGTAATATAGACGAATTTCGATGACACCATTTGAGTGCTGCCAAGGAAAATGAGACTTTAAGCTTTCAATTTTATCGTTTATTGTTTATCGGATTTGGCCCTTTAAAAACCTGGTAGTAACATATATCGCTGATCAGGTTTTTCGTGGGCTGAATCCGATAAAACATAAATGATAAACTTAAAAGTCTAAGTGACATTTTCTCTTGGTAGTGCTCATATAATAAATTACACGTAGAGAGAATACTTGTATCTGGACTAAAAAATAAAATTTCAAATCTGCGCTTGAATTTATATTGTGCTTCGTTATATTTGACTGAACACTGATACAGTGATATGTAACTATAAATATTTATTTATTGTACGTATAATGTTGATCGGAAGATTAGAAGGTCTTGTTGGAAGCACTACTGGAATTTGGAATTTGGAATTTGGAAGTATATTTTATAATAAAATTAATTGGATTGAAGGCTTCTAATTCAACTTTTATGTTTCGGAAACACTTTTCAATAACACTGCCGTATAGTGTTACTACTGGCGGGATAGCAGTACCATATACATGGATTAACGAATTATTATAATTATTATGCATAATTTAGTATTGCGCTTTTCAATTACCACATTGGAATCTGAGAATCGAGAATCTATTATTAAAAATACAAATTTGTGATTGACTAAAAATTTTATTAATTGTAATATTGTTAAAGTTATAATGACGGTTATTTTTTTTTTTTTCAAACTTTGAAGATTTCTCAATAATGGATCGGTCAATTTCAATATTAGTTTCGAATAAAAATTTTTGTTGTTGCTTGATCCGAAAGAACTAATATATTATTCTAGAGGTCGAAAATGTAACCGGAAATTTGTAATGAACGATCATCGATGATCGGGTGCCAGAAAGCCTAAATATGGTTTGTCGTTTAGGACTTCTTGGCGACACTCAAATACCATAATTGAATACCTGTGTTGTCATTGTCAATGGCGTACAGACTTTCCTAATCGTGATAACCCATTAATACTTAAATATGGAGATTCTTTGTTAAGCGTCAATTGCCATGTTGTCATACATTCTAAATAAGTAACGAAATTATACAACCAGTTAAATCACGTTTATATGTATGAATTATGAATTCCCTCATTTTAATATCGACGTATATATATATGTGAGCGTGCCAATTTTCTTTGTAAACTCAAAATGACAGTAAAATTTCTTGATAATCTTTCAAAAAATTATCTTGAACTTCTTAATGATGAAGAAGATTTTAACGTAATTATTGAAGTTGGTGAATCTCAAAACACAAAATTATTTCGGGCACATTCTGCTATTTTAAGATCTAGATCTTTATATTTTCATAAAGAATTAACAAAAGCCAGTAAAGACAGTAATAATATTAAAAAAATCTTTTTAAAACTTGCTTCAATTCAACAATTTGAAATTGTTTTAAGGTAAATTTAATATTGATTTATAATTTTGCAATAATATTCTTAATTTATTAACTTTTAGTAAATATTATATTAAATATATAAAGATACATCTATGGAGGATTAGTCTCGTTAGAAAATATCGAAACTTCACTTATTTTTGAGCTAATTCTTGTTGCTAATGAATTTTTTCTCGATGAATTAGCCAAATATCTTGAAAATTATTTAATAAAGGAAAAATATCACTGGCTTCTCTTACATTTTGCTCGTGTTTATAAATTAAGTTTTCAAAATGATAAGCTTAAAGAGTTACGAAGTTGGTGCAATAACATTGTTGCAAATTATCCGAATAAAATTTTTGATTCAGGAGATTATACTTCACTTCCGGAAAGTGCACTTGTCTCGCTTATTAGACGTGATAATTTACAATTAGATGAAGTGAAAATTTGGAATTATGTCATTAAATGGGGTGTCGCACAAAGCCCTAATATATCATCTAATCCTGGAGACTGGTCTCACGATGATATTTCAACTTTGAAATCTACTTTAAAAAATTATTTACCTCTTATTCATTATTCTCAAATTTCTGATCTCGACATTATCAATAATGTGCAACCATATAAACAAATACTTGATGAAAATCTTTGGAATGATATAAAAAGATCTATATTTCAAAATCAACCAACAAATTCAGTAATTCTTCCACCTTGGATGGGTTTAACTCCAATATTGTCACCAAGAGGAGTAGATTCATTTTCAACAGTTCTTAATTATGTTCATCTAGCTAAAATTGCTTCGTGGATAGATAAGAAAACTGATATATACTCTATGGAAAATATCCCATATAATTTTAAATTACTTCTTCGAGGAAGTATAGATGGATTTTCTTCTTCTTCATTCTGGAGTTCATGTGATAAGCAAGAAAATCTTATTGTAGTCGTCAAGGTTAAAGGCACTGATGAAATTCTTGGTGGATATAATCCTATTGCATGGGATAAACCAGAAAAGGCTCATTATTACAAGTATTGCAACGAGAGCTTTATTTTTTCTTTAAAAAATAATAATATTCAAACTTCAATTTTGAGTCGTGTAAAGCGTCCACAATATGCAATTTATTGTAACTCTAATCATGGTCCGAACTTTGGAGGCTCTAGTCTTGTTTTGATAAAAAATTTTGATCAGAATAATCAATGTTATTGTTATCATTCTATATATGAAAAATTAATTAGAAAAGAATCTACATATGTTCGAGGTTATTCATTTTTTTCTGTAGAAGATTATGAAATCTTTCAAATTCATAAAAAGAATATATAGGTTTATATAGACTTTACGATCATATTTTTAAATCCTTATTTGGTTAAATATTGCATAGGTTCTTGGGAAAAATCATATCCAATTTCGAATATGAATAGTTTTTTTAGGAAAATACGTATATGTTATTGTCCACGAAAGTGGGCAATGACCAAGAATCAATCCCAAAACAGATGATCGGATAATGACCGAACGGCCACTGTCTGCGAAGCAGCCAGTGTGCTATTCGGTCATTATCCGATCATCTGATTTGGGATTGATATTTGGTTATGTCCATTTCGCGGATA